GCATATTATTTGATAATTAATTTTAACTAATTTTGATAATACCACCTCACAAACAAAATACATTTTTAGTGGATCTGCGAATATCCATCCCTACCAAGATTCTGCTGGAATGTTCTGCTATCTGTTTTCTCGTATACAATAAAAATGAACCATAGTACGGGATATATTTGTGGTGTGATTTCATGTAAGTACATAGAAACGTTGCGCAAAAATGGTTTCACCAAGTGTTAACATTAATCTAATATACTTTATTATTAAAAATGGTAGACACCGACCTAGTTTTTGAAGAAATCGTATGATCATATTACGCAGTTAATATAAAGGCTCTATTAGAAAAAAAAAGTTAAATTTCTGAAACTATGGGCTATCATTTTTCCACAAATAGATATATGGGGGCAGTCACCGACCTTTTAAAAATGGTATTCACGTTTTAATAGTGTTTATTTACATAATTAAATAATGAACTATGTCAAAGGTCATGTGATGCTTTTTAAGAGGTATATACGATAGAATGGAATTCGGAATTTAGACTAAATATGACTAGGCCGGGAAATTTATGTCCCGACTTTACAGTTTGTCTCGGTAACTCGGTGTTTTAAATTCCCAACGAAAGTTTGAAGTTATTGTTTATTATGTCCCTCTTAACTTGGGGTTTCTTTTTATCATGTTCGCCTTATTTGATGGTGGTGAGATTTACCAATGAATTGCAAACACACCATTAATCATTAGGAGTGTGTTCATGCGCACACGTCGAAACGATCGCTGAAACCTCACAGTGTTTGTTCATGAGTGAGATATACTTTGCGATATGAATCGCCTTATATGTGTCACTCATCTGAGCGAAGCGGGGGGGGCATTCAATGAAATTGCTCCAGTTGTCACGCAACGCGTATTCAATGAAAGCGCCACGGGTGCCAGGCAATGAGTATTTATTGAAAGCGTCACCGTCGTCGGGCAACGCGTATTCATCGGAAGCGTCAGCGTCGTCGGGCAACGCGTATTCAACGGAAGCGTCAGCGTCATCGGGCAACGCGTATTCAACGGAAGCGTCACCGTCGCCAGGCAACGTGTATTCAATAAAAACATCCTGGTCGTCTGGCAACGCGTCTTAAATGGAAGTTGGGGTTTTATTACTTTCGCCGTATCATCATTATAGTTGTGTTCATGCCAACACCTCGAAACGATCGCTAAAACCGCACAGAAAATATGTGTTTATGTGTAAGCCTACTTTTTAGCTCCGCTGTCGACTTTGTCGGGCGGAGCTTATCATATGAGTGATTGTCCGTCGTCGTCGTCCGTCGTCCGTGTCAATGTTTATTTTTTCGACTTCTTATTGAAAACTACAAGTTTGAATGCTTTGATACTTGGTGTATATGTACCTTGGGCAGACCTCTCTCATTTCATGATGATATCTTCAATTCTCTAATTTTGGTGAATATTTTTGTCATTTTTGGTAAAAAGTGATATTTTCGACTTGTTGTTAAAAACCGCAAGTCCAATTGCTTTGATATTACATATATAGGTACAACATGTGGATATCTCTCAGATTTGTTCATTTTGTAATGATATCTTCAATTTTCTAATTTTGGTGAATATTTTTGTCATTTTTGGTAAAAAGTTATATTTTCGACTTCTTGTTAAAAATCGCAAGTCCAATTGCTTTGATATTACATATATAGGTACTAAATGTAGACCTTTTTCAGAATTGTTCATTTTGTAATGATATCTTTAATTCTCTAATTTTGGTGAATTTTTTTGTCATTTTTGGTAAAAAGTGATATTTTTGACTTCTTGTTAAAAACCGCAAGTCCAATTGCTTTGATATTACATATATAAGTACTACATGTGGTCCTCTCTCTGATTTGTTCATTTCATGATGATATCTTTAATTCTCTAATTTTAGTGAACATTTTTTTTTGGTAAAAAGTGAAAGTCTGATTGCTTTTATATTACATATATAGGTACTACATGTGGTCCTCTTTCAGATTTGTTAATTTCGTGGTGATATCTTCAATTATCTAATTTTGATGATTATTTTTGGTGAAAAGTTGCTTTGATACTATACATATTGTTCATTTTCTAATGATATCCTCTGTTCTTTAATTGCAATGTGCTCTCTCATCCGACAGGCTGCTTGTTTGTTCACAATTCTTGGCAACGAGGCGCGTCATTCAATGAAAGCGCAATAATCGTCAGGCAGCATGTATATAGATCCACAGTCACATTGCAATGCGTATTCAATGAAAGTGTTTCGGTCGTCAGGCAACATGTATTTCATGAAAACATCTCTGTCGTCTGACAACGCGTATTCAGCTTGAATGAAAGCGCCAAGGTATTAAATGAAAGCGCTTACTTCGTCAGACAACGAGTGTGCCTTGGTCGTCATGCAACGGAAATTCAATGAACGCGACACGGTTACCAGGCAACGGGTAGTCATTGAAAACACCTTGGTCGCCAGGCAACGCGCATCATGTAACGCACATTCAGTGAAAGCGCTACGTTTGTCGGCCAACGCGCAGCCTGGACGGAATTTCATATAAACAAACTCTGATTTTTACAATGATGTATACGTGAAACCTTTGTCTAACACGATGCGTTTCGGCGGCTGGATCAAAGTTTTTTTTTTTTAAATTACACAGCGAATACGTTGTTTAAAAAATAATTTTAGATGATTGTGCTCGACCTATTTTTCCATCCTATTTGCAGCTGCTCAGAACACAGTGTCTTAGTACTCACAATTGATGAGATCCTTGCAGTGACAGTGAAGATTATGGGTCGCTGACCTATTGCGATCCTTTGAGCCCTACTGCAATGTAAACTTTCGCCGACAGTCTGGAATAGATCATCTGATTCTCACATGGTGTTTCCATGTTCTCAAATTTTATTTTGTGTGCCGATATCTCTCTTCTAACACATGAGCTGGGTATATTCTCATAGAAAAAAATGATTTTTTATTGAAATGTTAAATATTTATCTTCTGAGTAGAAACACGAGTGTTGTCTGTGCAAAATATACGATCAGAGTCGAACACATTTCAACAACTTAAGAAATACGACATCATTAAAAAGGAAATAAAAATGTTTGTACAGTTTACGATGTTTGTTCGATAGTACATGTACTTCTTCATCTACACCCGGAAGCTGAGTTAACTAAAATCATTGTTTCGGTCGCGCATACAATAATACATACCTAATCTGAGATGCTGAATTGTTCGAGTTACGTTCATCTAGTTACGATCCATCGAGTTACACAAATGACCAAGCCCATATTTTAGAAACCACACCCAAATTGTAACTCGATGTTTCGTAACTCGATGTTCGTAACTCGATGTCAGTAACTCGAAAAATTCAGCATCTCACCAAATCTATGCGTTGAATCATCGGGACTCGACAAACACGGTTTGGGCTATATTTGCGTATTGAATCGGAAAGGCGTAAATTCCAAACACTAATTGTACATTCCGCTCGCCATCCTAGTTATATGAATTAGACGCCCCCTCCGCAGTCCTTACAGTGCATTCACCTTTATTTGCACTTTAAATCATTTATTCCTTGATATCGATGAGTCAAAATAGAATGTGTCACGTGTAGGCTTCTAGGTAACTATAAAGTACTAGGTGTCATCTAACCAATATCTAGATGACCACGCCTCTATTGTGCAACTAACCCTAGTGAAACATGAATGTGGCTCAGTTTCAAACTATACTCTCTTATACTTATCCACTTATCACTTTCATACACCATATTATCATAGAAATATTGAAAATTAATTTTATCTGCATGTAACCATGGCGTTTATTTACTTATTTTTTTAAATATGCCGACCATTTGTGATTTGCAATCAGTGTAAGCTTACGAACGATTTCCGTTTTGAACAACTTCAGCTAACTATACGCATGCGTGACCCCTTTTATCGTTCATTGGCATTGATGACAATAGTGTACGGTATATGCCTAAACAAACAACCTATAAACTTTTGTATCTTCGATGACGGGCATGGCCCACTTACTTCAATGTAACCTCACACGCGTGCAACAATTATACGAATAATTATGAATGTTTTGTGTGTTGCCCGAGGGAAAGTTTTAATTAATTCAAATACCACGGTCAGGAGAATCGTGGACGCGATGACCGGAGTGGAATGAAACACGTCGTTGTGAGTCATGAGTAGAATCCGACGTAGGTATATTTTTGTTTGGTTTTGAAAATTCAAATCGTGCCTAATCAACTAACCATGTTATTCATTCGCCAATAACAAAACTGAATGTCATTATTTAAATGCAGCAGGGGAAATTAATACTAGTTTAAGTGCAGGGAACACCACGAGGCAGTATACAGTGGCGGATCCAGCAAAATGTATTGGGGGGGGGGGGTCCCAAGCTACGCTTAAGATAAACGGAGCGTAAATCGCAGAGAAGCTATGCGTAATCCAGATAATACGAATCGTCATGCGTTTGGGGGGCGAGGGCGTAGCCCAAAACAACTTCCCGACACCCCTTGGTGCTAGCTATTTATACACTGGCTGGTTTAATTTAAAGCGGGGGAGTCGTCACCTGCGCATGCGTCAGATGACCATAGCGTGTCATTGTTTACAAACAAGCGTCTACCCTTGAGCTTTTGCGTTTTTAGCGTGTGTTGTTATCATCGCTTGGAACTCAATTCCCGCGCGTGCGGAGGTGACGACCCTCCCGCTTTAATTTGAAGTACTAGGCAAGGTCGAAATGATTTCTGTAGTTTCTACTATCTGATGACACTGACCGCAGGAGCCAGGACCACACCTATTTTACGACTTCACGGCTTAAAATATCTCAGTCCACCCTCTCGACAACACACTGAAACTTTCAGACCAAGCTACTTTAAACTTTGGCCAGTAAAACTGTGTTAATCGCTTAACCGGTTTTAAATCGGTTTATAATTCCGAATTTCGAGTGCCTACTTCACCAAGTTCAAAAGGGGTAATCATGCAAGACCCTTTGCTATGCAAAATAGCCCTAACCAGTGTGCAAATTAGATCCGCTTTCTTTAATCCGTAATGTAAAGGTGGGATGCTTACCCTGCTTACAGCTGTATTTTTTTAACTAGCATAGATAAAGCATGCTATATGTTATGACCAGAGATGTTTTGAAAAAGTTATTTTTCTCGTTTTTCTACCTTAACGCCTTTAAAACTATAAATGTAGAGATTTCTATACCCACACACTACATATCTTGCCTATTTCATTCCCTAATCGGTAAACAAATACTCTGCGTGTATTTGTTTTACCATATGAGAAATGCAATATCCACCAATATTCCATGACAATATATTCTATATTATATAATTGTCTAATTTATTGCAGAATGAGAAAGACCAGATTATGACGTCAAATGTATGGCTAAAACAAGTAAGTAACACAAGCAGGGAATTTTGCTTTCATTTGCGCATGCGTGTCACTGATGGTTTATCAGTCCATGTCCTGCGACTCACAAATTCAAAATAAATGCGATTAACGTTAAGATGAGTTATTTTAGTCGATTAGTTTCACTGAACTGGGATTTCATTGAACCACGGTAAAGCTGCTTTAAGTAACATTGGGGTACGCTCGTTATTATAATCGGTGTTTTGGTCTATTACCAGTTGTGGAACGACTACCGGTTGGCGTGGAATCCGGATGACTACGACGGACTTGGTATACTTCGAGTACCCTCACAGATGATTTGGCTACCGGACATAGTACTTTTCAACAAGTAAGTTTTCTGCCCTGTGGTGGCGACATCTTCTTGATCTCAACGTAATCATGTGAATTATGCGCATGATTCAGTATGTCTCATTGTGTCTTTGTTTTGTTTTTTCTCGAAAAAACCCTGTGTCCAGTCAGTAGATAAGTGCACGAATTCTCCTGGTTGTCATTAGACGAGATATAATTTTACAACGTTTCATTCTAAATTAGGGCGTCCTTCGGGACTGTCAGCTCCAACTCTTCACTTTACTATTTTCATTCAATGATTCTCAACGCTTAAAGTGGGAGGGTCGTCACCTGCGCACGCGCGGGAATTGAGTCCCGAGCGACGATAACAACGCACGCTAAAACGCAAAGGCTCATGGGCAGACGCTTGTTTGTAGACAATGACACGCTATGGCCATCTAACGCATGCGCAGGTGACGACTCCTCCGCTTTAAGAAAACGTGTAATACGAATAAAGCAAGTTTATTTATTATTTATCAGTTTATATAAGGCACGGTTACTAAAAAAGTGTTGTTCGTGAGATCTGGGAACTTCAGTTAAGGGTAATCTCGTTTTAATCAAAGACGTGTCTGTTTCTTTTATTTTACAGTGCCGATGGCAACTATGAAGTGACACTGATGACCAAGGCACTGGTGTATGCTAATGGTGATGTGTACTGGTTGCCTCCAGCCATCTACAAAAGTTCGTGTAAAATCGACGTACAGTATTTCCCGTTCGACGAGCAGCGATGTATAATGAAGTACGGCTCGTGGACCTACGACGGGTACCTGGTGGATCTGGTGCTCATCAACGAACAGATCGACCTGGAGGACTACTGGGAAAGCGGAGAGTGGTCCCTGGTCGATACACCGGGCGTGCGCAACACGGTGAAATACGCGTGCTGCGATACGATCAATGTTGACATTACGTTCACCATTCACATCATGAGGAAGCCGTTGTTTTATACTGTAAACTTAATCATACCATGTGTTTTGATATCGTTTTTGACTGTTTTGGTGTTTTATCTGCCGTCCGATTGTGGGGAGAAAATCACCCTCTGTATTTCGGTCTTGCTGGCCCTAACTGTGTTTCTCCTTTTGATTTCGGATATAATTCCCCCGACGTCGTTGGTCATCCCGCTTATCGGCCGCTACTTGCTATTCACTATGGTACTAGTGACGGTATCCATTATCGTCACCGTCATTGTACTGAATATCCACCACCGAGCGCCGAGCACGCACACCATGTCGCCGTGGATCCGCAAAGTCTTCCTGGAGATTTTACCTCCGTTGCTACTGATGAAGCGACAATCAAAAAACAAAGGGTCCGGTGGCAGACGCCGAGACCGCCGATTACCGCCGTGCGTACGATCTCGGAACGCCAAATGGTGGCATAGAGCTGCACGAGATGTTGCGCCGCACTTCGAGCACGTGCGGCGAAGGCACGTACAGCGAGGCAAGAAGTAAGCTTTACAGCATATCCGATGAGTTGTTAAAAACAGAACAAGCGTGGCCGAGAGCAGGCGGACAAATGCCGCGTCCGCAAAAACCTGTGGACGCCAGGTTTAAGGAGGCAATCAGAGGGGTCAACTATGTCGCTCAACATCTGAAGAATGAGGACGAATTCGAAACGGTATTTATTATAATCCAAAACAATTCTCATATTGACATTGATTAAATCTCGTGCAAAGTATCTGAGGAAATTATGCCCTCATAGCACACTATAATTTTTATTTCGTTTTCTCATTCCTTTGGCCGTTTTTTTAGCAGTAGTAGTATTTATAATATTCAATAATTTATTATGATTTATCGTAAACAAAACACGTTAAATACACATTATATTTATTTTGAGAAATAGTGAACTATACATCTGCGTATGCGTGTTGAATTACTAGTACGTACTATTAATTGCTTATTCCTTAAACAAATTACATTGTGTATTGCATAAACAAAATTTCAGTTCAGAGCATTTCGCAAGCTTCATTAACATACAATATCAAAATAAATATATAATTGCTCATTTCATTTTTTTTTGTTTTGAAAAACAGATCAGTGAAGATTGGAAGTATGTCGCGATGGTCGTGGACCGCATTTTCCTGTGGATATTTCTCGTCGTTGTACTGAGCGGAACTGCTGGAATACTATTATCAGCGCCTACGATATACATGGATCGGAAAGTGCTAGGATAGGTCAATACACATACTATGTCGATTAATTAGCGACATTAGAAGCGTCGTGCATTGGGGCTATATTTTCACTGAATATAGATTACCTTTCGAGCGTCGGTTATGGAATCAACATTCCTTGTGCACAACTTTATTGTCTGACCCCGTCAGGTCACCGACGGAGGGGCAGTGGTGGGAAACTATGCCGAGGATACTCTAGCTTGAATGCGACAAATGTGGAGAATTCTGATGAAAGGACAACGAACCTAGCAGCTGTCACACTTGATCAGCTGTTGATGAGTTCGCAACTGTGCAAACCACGCAACCAATAGTGCCTTTGTGTGTATTGAACGACATTTAGACGTGTGTTTGTACAATGTCTTAACCTCCGAAGCTTAGCGATGGACGCCGACGCTATGTCGTCACCCGTACGCCGATGAGTTTATGTTTCTTGGGACGCGAATGAATTTACGACGCCCACATCACAAATCTCGAAAAGACTTATCAATGCTACTTATGCAATGATATTTTTCTATTTTAAGCTTGATAAAAAATATGCTTATCTTGTTCATTTTTGTTATTGTCCAGATTCTGTGGGTATACGTCGTCCACGGCGCCATTCTTTCTGTATTCGACTTCTTCTCATGTGAAAGTAACAACCAATCACAATCGCCGTATCTGTTGTCTGAAGTGGCAGTGAGACTGCGTGTTTATGCAAATCAGTTAATTTTCGCGTGATACGGACATCCACGTTTCTTCTCAGTCATCATACGATATGACTGGTGCTGTTCTGGAGAAATCTGTAACGCAAACAACTACGCCATCACCGGCGGATTTTATGAGGTCAGTCGACCTCGATCTCTTTTTGAATTACTCGTAGTTTAATTTAATGTTAATGCTTGATCAAATTTCGCATCCGTTAAATAATTCCAGAAGAATTTGATAAATTTCATCTTCAAGCTGACAACAAAATATTTTAATTCTGCAGCTATGTATGTATTTGTTTTTCACGCAATCGGAGCTGGTATTAAGTTCTGAACTGGGTAATTTCAAAAACAGTTTTCATGTAACTTAGAAGTAAAATCAGTATTACCTTAATAAAATAAAACACGTGATCATATAAGGATATTTTATGAAGATGGCCTTCAATTTGCCGGCAAGAGAAACACGGACTCGGAGAGTATGAGCGTGTGGTGTATTAGACATGATCCCAGTTTAAATCAATTTACTGGGTGAACGAGCAGACGGAGTAAGCCCGCTCCTCCCTTCCCGATCACGGAGGAGGGTGTATTCTTCTCAGATCACGATATTACACGTGTGTCGCAATTAATACAAACGTTACTGGAAAATATTGTTGTATTTGTTGTAAGACATTTTAAATGTCATAAATCATTTTCTTGGTATGGCTAGAGTTTTTAACGCATGACATTACTGTCACAATTTGATTCAGCGTGGCCAACTAGCGGCACGTCATATTTTTTTCTGAAGTGTCCCACCAATGATTTATTTAAATATTTATACAAAACCAATATAGAAAATTTTGAACATTTTTTTCAGTTTAACTGACGGTATTTTTTTCTGAACAAAGTCAAATCACAGAGATTGAATACGTGACGTCATCAACCTTTTAAACTTGGTAAAACATGACAAAGACAGGTTACTGCCGCACGACGGTGAGTTTTATAATTTGATTCAAAATGGCCAACTGGTGGTCATGTTAATTCTTCCCTAAAATACATACGGGAACTGTGTCATTGAGAGTGAATTATTAAAATATGAACCTACGTTGCCCCCACAGTCAGCTGGCGCACATGTGATAATAAAATAAATACGATATTTACTATATGGGGGCCGCCATCTTGAATGACGCATAAAACTAAATAAGAGACAAGTTGTGAAACGCGTTTTTCAGATTCCTGCAAATCAGGACAAAAATACCAATCTTTCACAAAAATACGGTCCGTTGGGGTTATATTAAGCCAACCGATAACAAAATTCGGCCGAATTCGTCGTTTTTGTGTGGAAAAATCCCTTGCATACGAACACCTAATTACGCAAAGAAATTGTCATCTAAGCGTTA